GCGGGGGCCCCCGCCGGCCGCCGCCCGCCACTGCCACAGCTACGGCCACCGCAACAGTTGCAGCACTGCAGGAAACCCAAAACAAGGAAATGAATCAGTATGGACCGGTAAGAGTGCCAGTTAGTCCCCTTGTGGGGGACTTTCCATTCTCATGATGTTTGGTAGAAATAGAGATTATAGTGACATAATAATGATATTATAGTGATATAAAATCCAGCCCAGTTTGGGAAAACACATCATAAGGAAATGGTCATGACTGCCCCCGCCCCCCCCCCCCCCCCCGCCCCAGACACACAAAGCTTAGCTTATTTCTCTTTTAAAAGAAGACGGGGAGGCATGCCTGTTGCATAAAGCCAGAGATTCTAGGTTTGATGTTCATGCTAGCAGAGTAATAAGGGTGAGTAAGACTAGGATGGGTTTTTTTTAGGAAAGCATGCAGATCTGCTGGTGACATCTTGCTGTTCATCCAAACAAGCAGGGAGATGTAATGTTAAAGGGGGTTGAGATGGTTCTGAACTGGAGCTTTTGAGATTTTCAGGAAGATTGCTATTCCCTTATGAGACAATATGAATTTCGTATTGAAAGTTTCTCAAGACAGTCACAACAGAAACTATCAAGACAGAGTAAAAGGTGAAGAATTGACTTAACTTCAAGTTACTTAACTTCTGGTGACTTCATGTCCATGTCCATGTGGTAGCAATACCAAAGTGGTTTGTCCTTGTCTTCTTCTCAGATTTTTTCTTCTTTTACTTCTCAATCTAGAGAAGTAAAAGGATTTCCCATTGGCGTCCCCTCCAAATATTAAGCAGGTTTTTGAGATCATTCAAAATCAGTTCGAGAGACAAAAAGGCGAACGTTCCCTCAAGTCAAACTTGACTCATGGTGACTTCATGGACAACATGTGTATTTTTGTTTGCAGTATGGAATATAATACAGAATACAATATAATAATTTATTTTTTTTATTTTGCAATATGGCTGATTTTTATTTTTCTTTGACATTTTAAAAAGTATTCAGGTCTGTCACTCCTGGTAAAGTCTGGAATACAAAAAATATTACACACATTTTTTATTATATTGCAATCCCATAAAAGTACAGCCCACATTTCCAATTAAAAACAGGTCCCATTCGTATTTTTAAACAGCTTTTCTTTATTTTTATTTGGAACATTACTAAGTAACCCCAGCTTTTTAATGAACATCTTAAATCTCTCTGAATACATTCAATTTTATTTTTCAGATTTATAGCTATTATCTCCATCTTTATTGATACTTAATGATTTTTCTAAATTTATAATAGGGTTAATTGTATCTGTGAATATTAATGCAAAATAATCTGCATTGAGACAAATTTATTTTGTTCCTTTCATATTAATTCAGTTACAATTATTTATCTAATTATAATTGCTAGTAATTCCAAACAAATTACACATTAGAGGGCAGATAATCTTTCTAACTAGAAACAGGTTTATCTGCCATGTTCCTGTGACTAATTAAACTTTGTAATTTTCCGGCATTATTATCAATTTGCTCATTATATAGAAAATCAGGGAGCTCAATAGTTACATGTAATGGTGTTCCATCATTACATCAACCCAGATGTAATAATTTCATAATCAGGAATCACTAGGGAAATTGGCCTCTATGATTTTTTATAATTAACATTGGATTCCAGGTTCACTTCTAGCTTCTAAGAGTCATAGAATGGTGCTTACCTGTCCCTGGAGTATATTTTAACACATTCTATATTGGAAGAGCTGTTTTTATTTATGAGGTCTCATTCATTTCTTCTTGAGGTGGTGACAGGGTTCTTACTAAAAGGTCAATTTTATAAATAAGTAGTTATTAGTTGATGTAGAGCATCACTTTTATTTATTTTTAGTTTGATTACTTCATTATCCCTTGCATATTTTCCAGAATTCTTTTTTTTTATTATTATTATTATTTATTTATTTAGATTTGATATTTTTGGCTAGTCTCGGTTGACCTCAGAAAAGACAGGGGATTTTGAAAAGAGATTACAGAGGAAGTAGAAGGTCTGTCCCAGATCAGAGAAAATTAAAGCCAAGGTGAAAAAGGACTGCATTTAGCCTAGGAAACATTTTTGTTTAACTGCTGTTGTTTGTAAGAGATGTTTCATTCCCCTTCAGCCAGATCTGTGGAAGGCTTGCAAACATTAAAATGATGGTTTAAAAAAAAACAAGAATTTAAAACAAAAATCTTTAAACAGTAGAATTTAAAAGAGTAACCCCACCACCACCTCAAAGTAGTGAGCAGAAATTAAGTACAAAGCGGCAGGAAAATTAAAAAAGAAAAGGCAGATCCTTTTCCTTTCCTTTCCTTTCCTTTCCTTTCCTTTCCTTTCCTTTCCTTTCCTTTCCTTTCCTTTCCTTTCCTTTCCTTT